ATGTAGTCCCATATGTTTATTTTTTCCTTTGTTTCTCTTGCCCTAGGAGTTGTATCAGTGAAAATTCCACTACATGGGGTGTCTGTGACTTTACTGCCTATGTTTTCTTCCAGGATTTTTATGGTTTCGTTACTTACATTTAAGTCTTTTATCCATTTTGAGTTTATTTTTGTGTGTGGTGAAAGTTGGTGGTCTAGTTTCCTTTTTTTGCATGTACCTGTCCAATTTTCCCAGCACCACTTATTGAAGAGACTGTCTTTACTCCACTGTATGCTCTTGCCTCCTTTGTCAAATATTAACTGACCATAATGTTGTGGGTCTATTTCTGGGGACTCTGTTCTGTTCCATTGATCTATATGTCTGTTGTACCAATACCAGGCCGTTTTGATTACAATGGCTTTGTAATACAGTTTGAAATTCGGTAATGTGATCCCTCGCACTCTGTTCTTTTTTCTCAAGATGGCTGCAGCTATTCGGGGTCTTTTTTGGTTCCATATAAATTTTCAAAAGGTTTGTTCTAGGTCTGTGAAATATGCTGTTGGTATTTTAATAGAAATTGCATTGAATTTATAAATTGCTTTGGGTAGTATGGACATTTTAATGATATTAATTCTTCCAGGACACTAAGTTTTAAGCTAATTGTTGCTCAGCAATAAATAACTCAGACGCCTGCCTAACATGCGGAGGAGACTCTGCACTGACACTCAAGGCACATTACCTGCTCTGTCCCAATTGAGTCCCACTTCAGCTCCCACCCAGGGCCCCATGCTCAGGGAACACCCCGCTTCCCAGCTCCCAATGTGCCTCAGTGAGGCTCCCTGCCTAAGTCTCCCAACCAGGGCCTCACTTTCTTGCTGGGGCTCCAGGAACACACCCACCACACAACCCAGCCAGCTCTGCTCCTTGACTGCCCAGGGGAATGGCCAGTTGTGACCTTACAGTGAGCACATACAGGGAGCTTCAGATTGGCCTGTCCCATGGCTGTGAGTTCCAGAAAAAGAAGGCCCCCATCTGCCACATTCCCTGCTGAGTCACCTGGGCCTAACCTGGGCCTGACACAGAGGATGGATGGATGGATGGATGGATGGATGGATGGATGGATGGGTGGGTGATGGATGGGTGGGTGATGCATGGAGGGATGGATGGATGATGGATGGATGGATGGATGGATGATGGAAGGATGGTGGATGGATAATGGGTGAATGATGGATGACTGGGTGACGGATGGAGAGATGAATGGATGGATGAAGGATGGATGGATACATGGATGATGGATGGATGGATGGATGGATGGATGGATGGATGGATGGATGGATGATGGATGGATGATGGACAGGTGGGTGATGGATTAAGGAGAGTGGGTGATGGATGAAATGAGGAAGGATGGAAAGACTAACGAGTGGATGATGGAGAGACAGATGGTGTAAGGGGAAGGTGGGGGCACTTACCACAGGTGGCATCGCTTTCAGATAGAGTGGTGATGATGAGGATGATGACCAGCAGAATGGTGACTCCAGCCAACAGGAAGTAGTACTTGTGTCTCTGGAGCTAGGAGAGAGAACAAGGTTGTTGATGTATCTCAGCTGCCAGCCTCTTATCCCAGGGGTGGGAATGGGGAGCACTTGGCTCATGCCTGCTGAGGACTCTGGCATGCAGGGGGCTGGGCCCACCCTGGAGGCAGGGTCCAGGCAGAACCTGTCCCTTGGAAAGGGCTCTGCCCTGAGCTGGCACACAAGCTCATTCAAGAACTGCTCTGGGCTAGCCTTGCAGCCAGGCCACAGGGAGGAGACTGCCCCGGCTCCAGAGGCAGAGAATGATGCCAGACTCCAGGGGGAAACATCTGAAAGCCTTAATTAAGATTATGCATGGCCCGGCCAGGCGTGGCTCAGCAGTTGAGCATTGACCTAGGATCCAGGAGATCGGGGTTCGATTCCCAGTCAGGGCACATGCCCAGGTTGTGGGCTCAATCCCCAATGACTCTCTCATCATTGATGTTTCTGTCTGTCTCTCTCTCTCTCTCCTATCCTCTCTCTGAAATTAATAAAGATACATTTAAAAAAAAAAAAAAAAGATTATGCATGGAGGTTACATAGCCTGAGGTCTGGCAAATACCAGACATGTAGACTTCATCAGATATTCTTATTATTCCTGTACATTGTTGGATTATTACTAATTTAGCAAGTTCTGAGGTCTACCATCAAAGGTCTCATAAAAAAAAAAAAAAAAGACACAGATTTGTGCTAGGGACTCATTAGGGAGGGGTTGAGAGACCATGTGAAGAAAGTGATGCCTCATATAAGTCCTGAGTGGGCATCAAGGACTCACAGGCAGGCCAGGAGGTGGGAGGCCAGGTATCAAGGGAGAAACCAGGCAAAATGGAGCTTAAAATAATCGGGTAAGTCACCGAGTGGCTGGAGTGGGGGTAGGGAAGGGTAGGGAAGGATAGGGAAGGGAAAAGTAGATGGGCGAGACTGGCCTGCAGGATATGGAGGGGTTTGGACAGCACCCCTGAGATACCATGTAAGACTGAGAAACTGTAAGCCAGAGTGAAATGTTCAAGAGAGTGTTGGTGAAGAGGCCACTTGAAAACAAATGGGAGGATGGGTAAGAAAAGGGAGAAGAAACAGAGTGAATGGTTAGGAGGAAGACTGACCCATGGAAGGGTGGAGCCCAGAGCAGAAGAGAGAGGGTTAGGGGAACAGAGGCAAGACCAGGAGGGGAATCTTCAGAACCCGACTGTGACTAGATATGCGAGGGAGTGGAGTAGCAATGTCAAAGATGAGTACCCAGGTTGCCCATCGGAGTCATTAGGTGAATGTTGAGGCTTGTCATTCATTCATCCATCCATTATTCCACCCATCCATCCATCCATTCACCCACACTCCCCCCATCCACCCATCTATCTACCCACTCATCCTCCATCCATCCACTCACCCATCCATTCATCCATCCATCCATCCACTCATCTTCCACCCACCCAACCATCATCCTTCTACCCACCCATCCATCCAACCATCGTCCACCCATCCATCCATCCTCCATCTATCCACCCATCCTCCATTCACCCATCCTCCACCCATCCATCCACCCATTTCCATCCATCTATCCTCCATGCATCCACCCATCTTCCATTTATCTATCCTCCACTCACCCATCCTCCACCCACCCATCCATCCTCCATCCACCCACCCATCCATCCATCCATCCCCCACCCATCCATCCATCCTCCACCCATCCTCCACCCATCCATACATCCTCCATCTATCCTCCATCCATTCTCCATCCATCCTCCATCCACCCATCCATCCATCCATCCTCCATCCACCCACCCATCCATCCATCCCCCACCCATCCATCCATCCTCCATCCATCCTCCACCCATCCGTCCATCCTCCATCCATCCTCCATCCATCCATCCTCCATCCATCCTCCATCCATCCTCCATCCACCCATCCATCCATCCATCCATCCTCCACCTATCCACCCATCCTCCACCCATCCATCCTCCACCCATCCACGCATCCTCCATCCATCCATCCATCCATCCATCCATCCATCCATCCATCCTCCACCTATCCACCCATTCTCCATCCATCCATCCTCCACTTATCCACCCATCCTCCATCCATCTACCCATCCATCCTCCTATCTATCCACTTTCTCAAGGTGGCCATAAAGTGGATGTTGGTAGTAAAGCACAGCAAGGCAACCATGGGGAAAAGAAGAGATTGCTGGTGACAGGGGATACTGGAGAGTTGTTGTTCCTGGAGTAGGTGGGACTGAACTTGGGTTTGGGGGTTGGCATCCAAGTGTGTTTTGATGTGCAGATCCAGGTCTTGCTCTAGAGCAGGGTCTCATCTGTTGGGCACTGGTTGGATGACTGGCCCCTTCCAGCTGCTTCAGTGTTTTTCCACTTTAGGAGGGACCCACACACCAGCCTGGCTTCCCAGTCCTGTGCTCCAGGCCAAAACACTGGGCTTGGAAAAGTTATGTGACCTGCCCATGGCTTCACAGATGGTGTAGGCAAATCTGAACCACACTCCTGAGCGGACATGCCAGCCATGTGCAGGAGTGGGGCATGGAGGGGTCAGGATGGGAGGCCCAGAGTGAATCTGCTCCATCCAGGAGCTCACAGATGGGGGTAGGCAGGTAGCCAGAAACCCACAGCTCTCCTGGGAGGGAGAGGGCTTGGGGGTCAGGCCACAGGAAAGGGGCTCTGAGCCTGGGAGCACTTCAGGACCCAGACAGCACCCACAGTCCATGTGCTGGGCCTGCGGGCCTGGTCCCTGTCCTTATGGCATGCCCACCACTGTCATCCCATCAGCAGGACAGCACTCTTCCCCAGCCCTTGCTGGGTGCCGAGCACCAGGCTGTGTGGATTCGCTCACCCCCACCCAGCCTTGAGAAGCAGGTCTTATGCACACCCAAATGCAGGTGAGGGCTCAGAGAGATAAAGTGACCAGCCCAAAACCACCAGCATTGTAGAGCAGAACTGGAATCCAGCAGCAAAGCCTGCTCTCAGCCACTCCCCGCCCCTCACAGAAGGGTGTGACCTGCATGTCCTTGCCCTCCTGCACTCCAGTTCCCTAAACAAAGGCTAATGCAAACTGAGCCCTGATGAGCCATCTGCATGCATCTGAGTGCCCAAGGGAGTCAACAGGCTAAAAGGATCAGGTGGGTCTGGCTTCAAACCGGTCATATATCAAGGCCTGACCAAGTGACTTGGGCGTGCTGCCCTGGCTCTCCCATCAGTGTGGCTCAGGCAGAGCCCAGCCGACAGGACCGCACACTGGCTTTGCCTCGCCATCTGTCAGAGTTGTGCCCACACCTGCCCAGCGTGGCCCAGATCTCCCTTCCTGGCACCATGGCATTGGCCCTGCGATGGACAGCAGCGGCGAGCTCCTGCTTGGGTGTGTGATCCACACTCAGGCCTTCCCTTCCTAGTCCCTCTGGTCTATCCTCCACCCCCACCCTAAGCTGAACAGAGATGGGGAAGCTGGGAGCCAAGGAGCAGCCACAGGGCCTCAGCTGGAGTGGACGGTGATCCTAAGAGAAGCAGGACAGGTCACCTGGAGAAGAGGGGAGAGGGCACTTCCAAGCCTATGATCAGCTACCACCAAGCAGCTCCTTCCAGCCCCCTCCTCACCCTACCAGCAAACCGCACTGGGCCTCTCCAGGGACTTCAAGGGAAGAGGAGGGAGGGCGATGACAGGCAGGGCCCAGGGCTGCCAGATGCTCAGCTGGGACACATGGTGGAGGCGGAGACAGGTTTTAATGAGGTGCTTGCAGCCCCGGCCCTGCCAGCTCCCCTCCTGGCACAAGGCAGAGCACTCCCCAGCATCTCTGCTCCAGCCCCCAGCATCTGCACCCTCCCCAAGGGAGGGAGCTCCTGCTGTCCTCCCACCCCACCCCTGCAGACTTCATCCCTGGTCAGCCCCCAGCAGGGGAGGCAGAGAAGGAGGGGCCCAGGCCCCTCACTTGGCCTGAGGGGGCAGAGACCACACCTCACTCCACCAGGAGCACCCAGTGAGTTCGAGCCCCCTTCCCAAGCTCCAGCAGGCACGTCCCTGGACGCAGCCTGGACTGAGGCTGACCGTTCCAACTCCCTGATGGAAATGTACTGGCTACACTGGTGACCTGGGGAACTGCTGGGGAGTCTTCCTTCAGGTGGCAGTGGGAGTTTTCCTATTGAATACCCCATGTCTGACAGGGAGGGGCTTGGAAAGGCCCCTGGAACTGCTGAGAGCTGCCCCAGTCCAGCCCGTTTACAGGAGGTTGGCCTCGGTTTCTGAAGGTAGGGGGGCAGGGGACCCAAGCGGGGCCACTGGATGGATGGATGGATGGATGGATGGATGGATGGATGGATGGATGGATGGATGGATGCGCCCATGTCCACATCATGCTTCACACCCTGTGCCGGGCAGGGACAGTGCTGCAGGGACATCAGGATGCCCATCTGATTGGTGCTGTGGGTTGAATATTGTTCCCCCAAAAATATGTTAAAGTCCTAATCCTGGGGACCCCAGAGTGGGACCTTACTTTTGAGGGGCCTTTACAGAGGAGATCTAGTGATAGCAGGGTCACTAGGGTGGGCCCTGGCCCCATCTGACTGGCGTCCTTATGAGAGGGGGACGCTTGGACACCAGGACACAGGGAGAGCACCATGTGAACATGCGGATGGCAGTCTATAGGTGGAGGACAGGGGCCTGGAACAGACTCTCCCTCACCAGGGGGCCTCAGGAGCCAACCCTGCTGCCATCTTGATCTCAGACTCCCAGCCCCAGATTTGTGAAGCCCTCAATGTCCCTGGTCCTGATCACAGCAGCCCAAGATAACAGATCCAGCCCAGTCCATCTCTTCCGCTGACCCTGGGGAGTGATGCCTCCAAGGTGGTGAGCCCCTGCACTGGGCATGTTGGGGCAGCAAAGAGCCGCAGTTCATTCTCTGGGAGCAAGGCTGGGTGGATAGCCAAGCCCCCAGACCTCTGCCCGGGGCCTGCTACCAAGAGGCTGTCACGAGGCCCCTGGGACTGTCCTGATGGCTGCCAG